CACGCATGGCACTGCGCCTCCGCCTTCCACTGCACCGCCACGCGTGGCACCGCGCCTCCGCCTTCCCTGCACCGCCACGCGTGGCACCGCACCTCTGCCTCCCCTGGGCCGGTGCCTGCGAGGAGCAAGTCGTGCAGCAGCAGAGACCAGAGGCGCCGCACTACAAAGGCGAGTGCTTTCGAAGCCCGTGGTGCAGAGGAGGCCAAGCGTTCCCAGCGAGCCCTTCGCCGCCCTGCGAGCAGCCCGCTGCACGGACGCATCCACCGGCGCCGCTCAAGTGAGCTCATTCGCAACAGCCCGGGAGCGCCGGCCGCTCCGATGCGCTGGGGGAACAGGAGACGACTGTCACATGTTGGCTCCCAGTTGTTTTTCTTGTCCTAAGAGTCTGCTGACTTCGACTCTTGTAAACAAGGAGAAACCCAAATTGCTTCTAAGATAAACATGCAAATCAGAGGCAGACACATCTATTCTCTTGGCAGCGTGCGTTTTGTGCTAACCCCCTTCCGCGCCTTGCCTCCGTGCTGCGTGTGTCCTGCTCCCGCGCTTCCCACGGCAGCCTGCCCGGCTTCCCGAAGGACTTGCAGGCTCCTCGAGGTGCCCTCGCAGAACCCCGCGGCCCATGTCACATCTCTGCCCTCAGCTCAGGCTGCTCTGGTGAAAGTCTCAACAATTCCAAGCCTTCCCCTCCACAGCGGCTCTCCTCCCCGTTCCCATGGGCGAGGGGGGGACCCCGCAGTTGCACGTGGGCTGGGAGTTCCTGGGATGCGCTGCATCTTGTCCCGAGGATCAGATCCCAGTATCCCTCGCTGCTTCTCCATCTTCACCATGCTGGAATCTCTTTCTGGATCAACAAACTGTGCTTTTGGCAGCGATACAGCGTATGCAGCGTCCCAGTTGCTGAGCTCTTGAATAGGAAAGACCAAAAGGCTGAGGAAAAGCGCCGTACCCCAGGTGTGGCAGTGGGGACATCAAGAGCGTGGCCAGAGTCGAAGGCACCTCGGCAACAGGCAGGTGGGAACTTCGACCGCTGGAGGAAGGAGCCCTCTCCAGCAGCCGGGGCCAGCCTGCCCCAACGCGCCAGCGTGGGCCCGGTGAGCAAAGCGGCTGCGGTGCTGCCGAGGGCTTCCCCGGCTCCCAGGAGCACCAGGCTGCGTTTACGGGGGCCGGGGGCTGCTCCGCAAAACCAGCGGTCAGAGGGAGCCAGGACTCTAAAGATGGAAGATGCTGCAAAGCGGAATTCCGTTCCCTTTTCCTTATAAATAACCAGCCCCCTGCGATACGGACCTGGGGCACCTCCGGATTGTTTTTTCTTTTTTTTCTTTTTGTAACGCAGGGCTGTTGGCAGTCATTTTGTTTAATTGCCAAAACCCGACTGGCTGCCCCAGTGGTTGCGGGGGCAGCTCCCCCCGTCCCGAAGAGGCACCGGCAGCGA